TAATGGAGGTCTGGCTGGCTATTTTAATACCAATTCATTGCTAACATTATTCATTAAAAATATACTAAATATTAAAGTAATAAGTAAGATACAGGCAAAATTGAAAATAAAACTTTAATAACATAATGATAATAGATAATAATATGTTTACATTACTGGCATGATAAATAATATAATCAGATTTCAAGACGGTCCCTAGCCCAGAAGCTAATAGGGAATTCGTCCAAGCAAATTCACACTCATGATAGGCTAAAACTGCCCTATTCATGCAAAATAAAGGACCTAATTTTGAGAGCCTCTCTAATAAACCGAAGAAAGAGTTAGAATATTATATCCTAATTAGATGATGAAAATAAGTCCTGATTAATGTCCTGAAGAAAACCAATCCAGGCAGACTTGTACATGGGACATTCAACAAGGATATGAGCAAGCGTTTCAGGTCTTCTCAAGCTGCATATGGAGCAATCCAGAGCTCAGTGTTTATTACACACAACACACTCTTAAGACAAAAGGGTAATTCACACTTCCCAGAGAGTCCAAGTTGTATGAAAGCCCTCTTCCATTGTGTAGGCACTTCTAATTTAATATATTCTTACATAAACATATACAAATTATGTACGAAGCAAGAGTGAAAGAAAGAAGACTCACCGAAATATCGAAAAGTGCTGTAATAGAGGCTTTTGAAAGGATAAGAATTGGTTAGAAGCAAGGTCAGTAAAACTACCAGGTTCGCTCACTCAGAGGGAAAATGGTGGAGAGGAATTGAGCTCTGACGTAGCCAAAAGACTGATTTTACCCCTCCGGCCTTTGTTTCTGGACATTTAAAGATTATTATTTACTTTCATACATTAAATCAATAGTGTGTTACCAAAGAACTTATTAATTTATTAGTTTTAGTAAATTTGAAAGGTGAAAGAAAGGTTGATTTGATATTTGGTTTATTCTGAAGCAAATAAAGTGTAATTTAACAAGTTTATGTATGATTTTTTGCAAAGTACCACAATACTACTTTTTAAATATTTCAAATAAATACAGAGCATAATATAAAATAATAGAAATATTGAAAAAAAAAAAGAAAAAGTATTTAATCTAACATTAAAGAAGCGTTTTTTTCCCGTGAATTTTTGTAAATATTACATTTTTATATCATAAGTAATCCTATGTAGTGATTTTTCTCAAGTTTTTTGGCTTTGATTTTATGTTTTCTTAATTGTTGTAAATACCCTTTGCTGAAAGAAAGGCTTTCGTCATTAATTTGTACATTTTGTTTCCTAAGGAAAATATAGTAAATTATTTTACAATATTTGTTTTTTTTACAAAATGTTTACATTTACATTTTAAAATCCAATCTTTTCTTCGAGCGTCCTTTGGAAAAGTATGAAATTTAATTTTCTTTCCTATCTTCTTTGTGTCAATTAGATTATTGTTGCAAGATGCAATTGCGCATTTTGTACCTGGCATTCTATGGGATTCTATTAATAATTATGTTATTATGAGAAATACAAGAAATACTAATAAGAACAAACAAATTCACTGTAACATGTTATTAAAAATAAAAAATAAATACTCGTTATAATATTATTTTAGAGACGGATAAGTAGTTGACTGTTATAAGGTGAAAATAAATTATCAGGATTTGCAGTAAAATTTGTTTATTTTTTTAATTAAATTTATTTATTTAAAGAAATTTTGACTGCAAATCCTGACAAAGATCTTCACCCTTATAATATTATCATAATATCTTTATAATATTAAAAGAAATGCCCAGGAGATCTACAAACATTATGCTAAAATGTTCTCTAAATATATCTAAATCTTAATTTTTTCTATTTATGTAATATATTTGTATATTATTTACAAAGGTTTTGAAATAAAGAATTTAAAAATAACCTTAATATCAATTTCGTTTCAGGTCTGGCCTGTAATTTTCATAGCATTTTATTCTAGATTGATAGTATTTATTTATTTATCTGCTTGAAATTATCTTCAATCAAACGTCAAAAAAACAGAAAAGTATTCTTCTCAATAAATTAAACTAGAAAACAAACAAAAAAGCACAATAATGTTGAAATAAGTCTTCATTGATAGGCTTGAAAGAGTAATAGGTAGGTCTCGCAGTCTATTCCTTACGTCACGTTTCAAGTTCCCCCACCACGCATTTCTGAGTGAGCGAACCTGGTAGTCTTATTGACCTTGGGTTAGAAGAAATGCTGTCAGCTGGTGCGAGGTTACATGGGTGTTATAGGATCTTAAACATCTATTGGCGGGACAAGAGGCTTCGAATGATAGGAAGACGAAGAAGTATAGTCATTCAACATTAACATGTCATGTCCACATCTGATGTGGACATTCATAAATATGATAAAATAATCGTAAGTGTTTTCGATATTTGTAATAAATCAAATACTACCTTAGCATAATAATCAAGCATAATAACCACGAAACTATCTTATAATTACCTCACTTCGGCACCTTTCGCTAGTATCGATGATTCTCCAAATTATGTTTATATAAATACACATTACGGCAATATCAGCTAGAACAAGAATTATGCTTCTGTATTTGGTGGACATATCAAGGATAATACTATAACAATCTAAGACACAAACAAAAAAGCAGACACTTAAGATAAGCAATATTTGAAAGCTGTGGCTGTCTAAAATTATTCGAGCGCAATCACATAGCTGGTCATGAGCCCATACCAATCTTTCCAACCTCTTTCGATCTCTTTTTGTGGTTGTTGATGCAGAAAACAGTGAGAGTTCTTCGTTACACAACTTAAACAGTGATGTCACTATGTCAACAAAGCCGCAGAACCTACCCACCAGAATTGGAACGAGACAAGAGTTCTCATAAGAAAGAACAAAAAATATATATAATCTCAAGTTAAATGAATTCAAATAATAAAAAAAATAAAGAATGTAAGTTGTGGAGAATGAAATAATGGTAGTAAGAAGATAAATTTTGGTATAATGGTATATAGAACAGCGAACTGGAAATATAACTCTCCAAACCAACTGCAATTTTTCAATGTATTGGTTGACCTGTTCCAATTTTATGAATAGTTCACAAGTGGACACAACTGGGTACAAATTATGAATGAAATACCAAGTGAAACTTAAAAATTCAGACAACCTGGATTTTTCTATTAACAATGAATAGAAACCTATTGTACCTATAAAAACTGGAACTATAATTAAGGAAGATAAAACCGAATGTGGCAAAGACACTCGAAGGGATCCATTATTGTTGAAGCTAAAGGGAAACAGTCCGAACCATTTCGATGGCAGAGATATTTGGAGAAGAGATTTCTCAATAATACATTCGCTAAGCATGGCTGTAGAAATGTTCGGTCTCCACTAGAATGAAATCCCCTAAGTAAAAATGAAACATTCGCCATTAATATGTCGATCAATGCTTATCGCAAACACTGTAATCATCAGGTGACGTATTCAGATATCATTAATATCAATGCTATAATGATATATTAATACCGACAGATATATAGATTTATTCTTTTTATAAACAGGTATAATGTAATATTTCTTTGTTTGACATTGTAGTCCGTAGTAAAGACCCCTTTTCATCAAATTATTAACATCCTCCCAAAACTTCGTCTCAGCTTCATCTCATCGTAATCAACGACTTTTTTTATTTAAAATTCTCAGAATTGTTGCGTTTTCAATCTGGGAATTAGCAAAATGTTTCTATTTAACTAAGCACTCAAAATTCATGAACGACCATTTGCTTTCCACTTGAGTCGTTAGATAATTTGACCACGTAAATATTGGGCCGTATGGTGTGACCGCCACTCCCAGCATGCCAAAATAACGAGGTTATATAGGCCAAACGGTCCAATATTTTGTAGATCACCCTTTTTTTTCGATTTTGTGTTCAAATTATTTTATGAATCAAGTGGAAAGCAAATTGGTATTTATGATCTTTTAGTACCTAATTAAATAGACACAGCTTGCGTCGGCATCAATGGAGATCGCTCCAGATTGAAAATTCCGAGAATTTACGTTAGCCACTTTATAAAGTGGACACTCTCAATTAAATAATTAATTAAGGGGGAATACCTAGTGGTTAAGTGTGATCCTGATCCGATCACCTTCCACAAACGTTGGCCTTGAAACATTACTTCCTAACAAAGTACTGAACCCTAAACCCTTTCATGAGTTGTTGTGGTACAGGTGTATAGGTATTATTTTCAATAATGAACCTTCAGAGGATATAAACGGCTAAATCTTATAGAACATCATAATATAAAAATTTAAATATTCTTCAATGTGATTTATAAGCGGTTATATACATATTGATTATAGGAAAAATATATAAGTAGAGGCTTGTACATCATCAACTCATTTAAAGTGATTGGTCGGAACATCATGAGAGCCTGACGTCTAAAGTAGGGAGTACATGTTTTCAGAAATTGGATCGACTAAAATTGTTCTATGATACGTTAAGGGATAACTGACGTTGTTGTTGTTTTGTTTTTTTATGATTATTTGGCCTCTAATTCGTGGTTCCTTTCTCCTGTCAACCACCCAATATTTCACCATAAAATATAGATATTAAATGTTCCTCTATCGATAATGAAAAAAATATCGATAATAAAATTACTATATGACCCAAACATTTGTATTGAATTACCTGTAACGTTAATTAATGACCTTGCACAAGTTTAGATCTTAATGATTTTTTTTTCCTGATTACATTATCCTTAAATGAAATTATTGCTGAGTTCAGGAACTTGCCCAATGCAAACGAGGAAGAATCTGGAGCGAGTTGAAATATTCGGTTCCTAAATAATGATCATAAGGAAATTAATAACGTATTTGAAATAAATAACAATACGTTCCAGTTTGGGAACAATCGTAAACGTTTCGTTCCATGGATCCGAAAAACAGCCAGCGTAACGTTCCTAATCGTTCCCCAACTGGAACGATTAAATGTAACTGGAACGGTTCCTCGTTCCGCCTTCAAGGAACGGTCCATCCCTTCGATCATCACTTCGAGTTTAGTGGTTTTGAAGTCCATTAGAGGTTGTTATTCAATCGTTGTGTTTGTTTTTAGGATGTGTAAAACAAACTACTCCCATTTTTTCAGTATAATTAATTTTAATCTTTACAGTTATTTGTATTAGTAGCCTTTGGCGTTGATAGACATCTAAAAACATACTTAATAAAGGGTGTGTTCTGAGCATTCAAACTGATTGATTTATTCAATAATATCTATAAAAATTTAGTCAATTTATTTCAAATAGCAGCATACTGTTGTATGAGGCCTGTGGAATCTTTGTTGTATCTTATATAATTAATTTCCCAGTCATATAATAGTGCTATCCCTTAAATGTATAAAATTGTCATGTATTTTTGTTTTTTTCAGATTCTTCTTATTTTTCCAAAATAAATGGCTGATGAAACTAATCTTTCATGTAAGTTATTCATTTTAAAACCTTTTAAACATTACAAAGTTTATATCTTATGTTTTATTTTTAAATGATGGCTACTAAACTTATAATCAGTGAATAAATGGAATTCTGAGAATGTAAAACACTCATTGAGAGATTGTTTATCCTTTTGTTAGTGGGTAGAAATTGAAAGCAGTAGTGTAATCGCCTTTTGTGAGTTTGTATAGAAATCTTAAATCATCTTCTAAATAAAGGGAAGTTATGCCCATGAAGAAGTTGTCAATACCTTATCATTCTCAGAATTCGATTTATAGTGTGATTATCGCATCTTTTTAATCATCATCATGAATCAGTTTGTAGAAATCTTAAATCATAATATAAATAAAGGGAGGTTATGCTCATGAACAAGTTGACAATTTCAGAATTCCACTTATAGTGTGATTATCAGATCTTTTGTCCATCCATGAAAGTGGAGCAACACTTGTAAAATAGTGACCGAAATCTAGGAACTGATTCTTAATTGTTATACCTGGTTGACAGATGTATCAAGATAACATTGTTTGCACTGTACATAAGTTCCAAAAGTAGCTATGTATTTTCGTAAATATACTGTGGCAAATGATCTTTTATTATGGCCCCAACCTCAACTGTTGAAGATTTGTAGTTAGTTTATCATTTGAACTAGTCTAGTAAGCCTACATAGTTGTCAATATGTCAGAATTCCATGTTCAGTATGGTCGTTGCGATTTTGATCTATCAACCAGACTTGACATGTGTCTACTAGTACCACAATTTATTTTTATAGTTTAAGAACAATATATTAGGTTAATCATATTTACATTAAAATAAAAATTATAGGTTTTATTGTGAAACATTAATAAAATTACTAATCACCTTTGAACAATAATGTTTCTATAACTTTTAAAAATCTTCATAAATAGTTTTCAATTTAATTAAACTGAATTGTTTTTACTTTTGTTTTTTATATTATTCTAAAATGTCTTTAAATAGGTATTTTTATGAGAACTTTTTGTGCTCTTAATTGTGTTACAGAATTGGAAATATGTTTGAGTTGATTTGGAGTTTGAGAAGTGCCTTTTTTTGAGGATTTCTTTGTTTTTTCTCCATTCCATAATTTTTTTGTGTGTTTAAGGTTTTTAGTACCTTTATTACCCCTCCTAATTGAGTTTTAGAATTGGAAATTCATTTGAGAGCTGGGTTGAAGTTAGAGAAGTGTCCATTCTGATAAATTAAATTTGTAAATCTATCAGTAAGTGTTCAAAAACAAATAAATAAAGTCAACAATTTAATTCATTTTAAAACTAAATTTAATTTTCTAAAGTACATAAAATTAATAAAACTATCAAATTATATTTCATCTGTTTTCTTGACAAAAAATGGAAAAATATGACCTTTGTCCGATCTGGTGATCATGGTTTGGGTACTACTATACAAAAATCACCCCATTGTTCATCAGTGACACAAGGTGCCATGATCACGCTATTAATGGAATCTTAAGAATGTCTGATAGTAGACATACTTTAAGTGACCAAATCTTCTGGTAAGGCACCAACCTCAACTGAAAAGGACCCGTTGGGAATTGTTTATCCCTCAACATAGACCATCAGTCGAAAGAAGTGATGTGATTAATTCTAATCAAGACCATGATTTTAAATTACGGTTGAAATGAAGACTTTTCATTCTGATTGGAGGGGAGGAGGGATGGACCCCGTAAAGAAAGTCACGGAAGTTTATCTTATGATGAATGGAATTGTTTCATGGAAACCTAATAAGGTGTATTTATAATGGCTTAACCAATGCAAAATGTGTAGTGATTAAAGATTTATTATTCCTGATTATTTTTTTATTAACGATGTGATATTTCATTTTATTAGCTTATTATAAATTTTCTTGTTTATAGGCGGCTTTGTCCATGGGAAACAAGAGGAACTTGTCTCAGATGGAGGTGAGAACTGTTAATATTATAAATCTTTCAGTAGGTCTGCAGTCGTACAATAAATGATCACATGATTTTTATTTATTATATTTTTATATATATATATATATATATATATATATATATATATATATATATAATGTATTACAATATGGTGCCCTGTAAGTAGAGGAAAATATTTAAAGAGGTGATAACACATCTCAAGAGTTACAAGAAAAGTTTCATAAACTATGGTCAAATTTTCTAAATAAAAGTAAAAAATTTAAGTTTTGAGTTTTTTTTTTTAAAGTGTCACGTTTTTTGATGAATTGAAATTAATAACTTAAAAAAAATATTTAGAGGAGTTGATCGGTGGGTGCGTTCAATGTTGTTGTGGATTGTTTGATCTTGATTGAGTCTGGAACAGCGACGTATGGATTGTGGGTTTGTATCTTGTTGTTGATCCCGTGGTAATGCATTCATAATGATGTAGATATGGTTGATCGTGATATAATATGAGAAGGAGTTGATCGGGGTCAGATTAACCATACCCCGCCGATCAAATCCTTCTCATTTTATACCACGGTCAACCATCTCAACATCATTAAAAAAAATATTTAATTTAAGTAATTAACAATTGCTTCAATGCAAGCCAAATCAAATTTATTTCAAATGTAAATAGAGTTTGTCATTGTTAAAACCATTTAAAGTGGACTTTTGAATAGATTAACTAAGCTAAGTTCTGATTTTAAAAAAAAATTGAATTCGTGATTTTTTTTTTAATCAGTCTGAAAATATACTACAGATAGGTTCTCTACTTTTAGAAAAACGTTTTTGTTTAATAAGATTTAAGTCCATATTAACACATTAAAGGCAGGAGTCGTAGTACTACAATTTATCTCGATTAGCATACTTTCGTCAAGATCTCCCACCTTTAATGTGTTAATCGAGTTGTGGTTTATCACTAAATAAGTTGAGATTCACCAGTCATATCAAATCATCTATTTTTTTTTTCAATGAAAATGACTAATAAATTATTGCGAAACTTTGATTTATTTTTTTCTATGAGCTCTAGTATATTGTAATAAACATAATTGCATAAATCCACAGCTTATTTTTTTTTTATAAAACATTAAAAGTAGTGATTTTTTAGTATTCATCATTTTAAGTGAGAGTGGGGTAGCTCAAAGGGTAAACATTGACTTCCAAAGCTCACAGTTGTCCTGGGTTCAAATCCGGCTAATAAAATATTACTTGTTGATCCTGGGATCACGAGACCCTACTGGGGCATACCCAACCTCTATACAATGGGTACTATTAAATAAAATAATTAATTAAGAGGCGAAACCTGGCGATTGAGCATGGTTCCACCCTAATCATCTCCCTTCACCATGGTTGGCTTTGGAGCTATACTTCCTTATAAATGACTGAACCCAAGATCCCTCATAGGTTGTAGTGTTACAGATTTTTTTTAACTTATAAATATGAATCAATTTCTATAATAAAAATATTAATTCAGTTTTGTTATCACATTAGGTGATAAATATTAGAAAAGTCATTATTTTTAACTTTCTTTTTATAAATAAAAATGTATTTAAGAATTTATGGTTATTATAATACTTCTCAGGTAATGGAAAAACATAAGAAATTAAAGTTTTGCAATCATTTATTGTAAACATTTTTGCTCAGTTGCTTGCTACTTACGGGATATCATTTATATATTCACCCATTATATTTTGTTATAATTCCTCTTAACTGAGAGCATATGTTTTTTTATATATTGAGATGTGATTTGTATATATTAAGTGTTAATTATTGGAATATGTTGCAGAATCCACGGTCATTATCAAAGAAGAGGAGGGATTGAAGATTGATTATGGTGAGAGAAATAACTTGATACAAACTTTGTTTTAAATTATTTTAACAAAATTGTGTTATAATAAATCCTCAAATTCAAATTTAAGAAACTGAAACTAGAGAGACAACTGTAACTACAGCAGTTGATGTTTTCTGTTCATAAAAAGTTCTCAGTTTTCCAAGTGAGAACTTTCTATATTTCTGATTTACTTATATTCATCATACGTTTGGTGTTTTACAGAGTAACTGCATTCGGAAAAAATAGAAGATTAAAGTATTTAGGTTATTGAGGTCCAACATTATGTAATCTTAAGTGTATATTTTGAAAATAAAATGTACTTTAGGATTATAAAGAAGAAGAAAACAACCAAATTTGAAGTCATCAGGTTCCGAAACGATTTACTTAGTGGTTTATCATTGATATCTATGGATATTTTATCGGAAGAGTAGTTTTTGGAAAATACAGTCGATGTTTTTGTATTTATTCTTTATTAAGATCCATTAATATTGTGTTGTAGGTTTGTGACCTTAAAAAAAAAAATATTTTAAAATAAATCGATACGGGAGCATAGAATCTCAAAATATACTTTATTTTCAAAATTTAAACTTGCAATAACGTAATGTCGGGTCTTGACATGGAAGCGATTTGATAACATGAATAGATCATTACACGAGTGTTGAATCTCTAAATCTATATTGTTTTTTTAAAAATCTACTCTTATGTTAACATTGTAATGGGTCATAATATCGAAGATAACCTAAATAAAATGAAAATATATTTTATTATTCTGAGACTGTTGTCCCTTTAGAACAAATTCTAAGTGCTAAATTCATGTATACGTGGTCAAATAGAGTAGATGTTTATAATATGGTTATTTAAAAGTAAAAATACAAACGGAAAGAGAGAAAAGACATAAAAAGCATAAATATACATACATAATAATCATACATAAAGCGTAGATAATGCAAACGGAGAAAACTAAAGTAACAGAAATATTTTCTGGGGGTACTTAGATAGCTCTTTTAGGTATATGTTGTGATCAGGCGGATTGAGAAAGGAGTAGGTGTTGAAAGAGGATGGGTTTGAAAGAGGAAACTGAAAACTTGCGTGTGACGAATATCAGGAGGGATGGAATTTCAGAGTGAGGTGGCTTGAATTGCAAATGATTTGTCATATGCAGCAGTTCAGTGAGGAGGTGGATAGAGGTCGGAAGTGCGAGATTAGTAGGACGGGATTGGATGGAGTATTTAAATTGTGTAAGCTATGGAAAATATAGGAGGGTCGATGAGTTCTAATGATCTGGTATAGAAAGGTAGCTACGAAGTACTGATGGCGATAGGATGGATAGAGCCACTTAAACTCGGTGTAATACTGGGTAATATGCATATCTCTTGAGATTCCGAAAACAAAACGTAATGCGCAATTCATTAGGCGTTTAAGTTTGGCCTCGAGATCTCCTGAGAGTCCACCGTACACCATACAACCATAGTCAAAGTTTGGGAAAACAAGAGAATTGACGGGACTTATATGCAAGCAGATAACGCAGGCGATTGAACTGTTTTAGGGTGGAGATAGTGCGGTTTCCAGGAGAGGGTTTGATCAAAAGTAACACCTAAGTTTTTAACGGTAGTATGGAATAAGATAGGTGAGTTGTTCAGGAGAAGATTGAGGGATCTCGGGAAGGATTTGAGGAGTGTGGGGGGATTCCGATCAAGATGGCTTTCGTTTTCTAAGCGTTCGGAGTGAGCCTGTTGAGGTTTTCCCATTCACTTGCTCATTCTATTAATATCTTCTTGGATTTTTAGAATGGCATCTGAGGAATCGGTCGGAGTGAAGGAGAGATAAATCTGAACGTTGTCAGCATACAAGTGGTATTGACAGTGCAGGATTGAGGATGGGAGTTCATTTATTTAGATGAAATAAAGAGTGGGGGCTAGGGAAGAGCCTTGTGGGACACCTCTGAACAAGGGTAGAGATTCAGATGGGGGCTATTAGGGATCACAACATACTGGGAGTGACGAGTTAGGAACCTAAAAGTTAAAATAAATAGATACAGAAGCACCGGATCTTATAATTATTTTTTTTTAACTACGCCTCTGATAGCTTTGTATCAGAATATAGAAAAAATCAAGTAAATTTAAATAGATCGATAAGCACTTGCGGAATCTTAAAATTCATATAGTTTGTAAACAACTATTCTCTTCTGTGAGCATAATTTTTTTTTATAAACATTTCTTTATAGAATAATATTATATGCTGTAATATAATACACTAGTAATAGTGATAGAGTGAATAGCTCATTCACACGCTATGTGGAATAATAAAATAAAATAAACAGCAAAATAATAATACTAAAAGTAATAATAATAGTAATCCTTAATATCTATACTCCGATCATAAATTATGGCGAATCATGTAATTTTAAGATTATTTCAGGGATATGACAAGGCATGATCTGCTCATACCCAAAACCGAGAATATGATGAGGATTTATTGTACAAACTTGTAAAAAATAAGGACTATTTAAACCTCTATCTAATTTTGATGTAGATTTAATGGAGTTTAATACCACTAAAACATTTTCAATTTATTGTTTTAAAGGAATCATAAATTGTAATTATCTGCGATAAGTACAGATACTGAGAGTAATCATGATTACTTTATACGAGTACTGATGTATTCATACAAAGTACTTCATAGTACCTGTACTCGCTTGAAAATGCATGGCAATTACAAATTCAATATTCAAATAAAACTAAGAAATTTGTATTTATGATTGTATTTTTCACTGAACATTACCCAACTCTGCTGTTTATTAAATTTTGCATAATGTAAACGATAGCAAGCCTGTTAAATCATATAAATACTACAAATCCTGATTATTCGTCATCCTTATAATTTATAGTTTCATTTTACAAATTATAATAGGGTCCTGAATAAATTTATTTTTAGATAAAAATAAAAAAAAATATATAGAAATATTTTACAGAATTTCTTATTAAATTTGTTCTATTTGAAAAGATATTTTCTTGACTTGTTTTAATGATAATCATCTTGTGTCACAGATGGGCTAAGTGAAGTGAAACAAGAACTGATTCTTTTAGATGAAGGTGAGCAATATTGTGTAATAATTTTACAGATTTGTGTTGAAAAATTATTATTTTTAGTACTAGAGGGATAAAATAAACCCTGTCCACCTAACGGTGGACCAACCCCCATTTTACAAATTATACAACTGTTCATTTAATTGTACTACTTGTTGCTCAAACTATATAACTTTAATTTACATGTGTTCTGAAGTTTAGACAGTATTATTTTTTATCAACATAAAATAAACTGAACAAAAAAGTTCAGACAAATTTTTAATATTAAAATAAACTGAATGAAACCACAATTCATAAATAACTTAAAATTTATTTACATTTTTACCTTCTTTTTTTATACCCTTTTTGGTTGATCATGTTGTGTCAATTTTAAAGATTTTGATTCCATAGAAAGTAAACATTGGAATCTAGAATCATTTCATTGAATTAAGGATTAAGGGTTATTGTCCTCTATATTAACATTCCTAATTGAAAACAAACAAAAAGATTACGTATTTATTCAATTAAAACAATTGACCAATCCAAAGCAGAAATATTTTTAGATGAAAAAATCAAGTGGGTGGAATTTTTTGCCTGTCAGTGTATAGTGAAATATTTTCTTTTCTTTGTTTATTTTAATTATTATTCTTATTTCAGCTAATGGCCTCGCTCAAGTGAAACAAGAAGAACTGCTTCCTGATGAAGGTGAGATATATTTATTTTATTAATCTTTTGAGTGTGATGTAATATTAATTTTAATCATATATGTGCGTTTTATATTTATGTTTATTTTGTGTAAACATCTTAATTGATCACCAGATTGCGCAGTAAAAGTTCAAAAAGTACACAATGCCCTTGTCATTCCACTAAAATGATAGCAAAACCTTTTTTTGATGAATATCAGGTTTTGATGTTGTTTGTAATGGTTCTTTTCCTTGGCAATGATCTTTTTTACATGGCATTATTATAAAACACCCATTTTCCATTGTCTGTAATCAACTGTTTAAAAAAGGTTACCTTCATTTCATTTGAATACTAGATCACAGAGACTTACTCGTTGAGTCAAATGAATTTCTTTAAGCTGATGAGAAACCGAGTGATAAACTTCGCTACAACTCATACCGAACTTCTCTGCAATCTCACAAGTAACGCTATGACAATTTTCGTTGATAGCCCCTTTGATTAGGTCAGTCTAAACATTGTTCGTCTTTCTGTGAAAAATCTGTACAAAATTTTATGAACTAATTTTGAAACTGCCTTTATGTTAAGGCTTCTGCACAGTACACAGTTCATAACCTTTTATGTGCTTGTGAATCATTTTTTCCTTTACAAAAATAAAGAAGAGGTATAAGTAAGCCTAAAATGAACGCTTTGGGCTTCCATTTCAAACAGAATTTTAATACTTTTTTTTTATTTCTTAATGATATTTACAACTGTATTAAATAAATACATTTAGTAAATTTGAACATATGGATATAATGACGTGAAAACACTTGTTGAGAAACTACCCAAAGGTAGAACTCTAATGATATGCCTACATTAGGAGATAACGGGGCCATCTTCTTTTCAGACGCCTCGGAGGGTTATCAGGAATTGAAGAGGAAGCAAGGTTAGAAACGAGAGGGTTGGGATGATTCTGAAGTTTATTATGGAAGGATAGATATCTGGATTGGGCCAGATCTGAAATATAAGAAACATTAAGGTCATTATGGATGGTTTTATTTGTAACTAAATAGGGAGCATTAAGAATTTTGGATTGGATACGAGAGGAATTCGATGGTTTAGTGGAGCCCCATAGCTCAACTCCGTAAGTCCAAATAGGCCTCATTATAGTCATGTATATGAGTCTTTTGTAATTAATTGGATGTTTGGAGCGTTTGTATAGCAAGTTCTGAAGTAATCGGAAACGTCGAGCGGTTTCTTGTCTTTTCTGTCTGGTATGTGGATTTCAAGTTAGATGTTTGTCCAGGTGGCGTCCTAGGTAGCGGATTTGCTCAATAGGGATCAGTGGAGTATTGTTAAAGGAAACTGTAGGACAGGAAGTCTTAGGTTTACGACAAAGGGTAAAGGTGATTTGGTGGGATTTATTTGAATTATCTAGTTTTGACACCATTCTTCAAGGTTTATGATGTGTGATTGAAGCATTTGGGATGAAATCGATGGTTCATTATTTACTGATAAGATACATGTGTCATTGCCATACTTGGTGATGACAGTGTTGGGATGTCAGCTGTATAAACTGTATAAAGGATAGGACCTAGGATACTACCTTGAGGAACCCCAGCGGACTGGGAAAAGAGGGATGAATAAGCGTTTTTGTGATTCACTTTAAAGTATCTATCAGTAAGGTAGGAACGGATTATGAGGAAGTATGTAGGTGGTAGGAATTTTCAGAGTTTGGACAGCAGTCCCGTGTGCCAAACTCTATCAAACGCCTCTTTTAATACTAAACTAAAAATTTCATCATCAAAACATTTATATTCAATTATAAAGGAGATAGTAAAGTTTAAACAATAACCAAATTTTCCTCTAACTATACAAAGATAACATTTTCATTAAAGTCATCTGCTCATAAAATCTTCAATATTTAGTTTCCAATTCTTTATTTTCATATGAAAATAAAAATATATTGAGCTATTTTACAGAATTTCTTATTAATTTTGTTTTATTTGCTAAGATATATTTTCTCGGCTTGTTTTAATAATAATTTTCATTTCTCAGATGGACCAAGTCATGTGAAACAAGAACTGATTCTTCTTGATGAAGGTGAGCAATATTTTGTTGAAATTTTACGGATGTTTATTAAAAATTATTATTTGATTTTTAGCTTATAATCATTAATTGATAAATATAATAATATAATGTTTTTGGATATCACAAGTTGAAAAACAGCAAAATTTATTTCAATTATGCAGAAGGCTCTGTAGTTCGTGGTACATGCCCTCCCCTCTTTTTATCAAATTATTGACATCCATCTAAAACTTGGTGAATAGCTTGATCTCATCGTAACCTACAAAAATTTTTTATTTACGAAAACTCTTGGGATCGGGTGTTTTCTCATTAAATTAATGATTATAATCGCATACTAAAAACTCATGAATACCCATTTGCTTTCCACGTGAATTATAAAATAATTTGATCACAAAATCAAAAAAAATGTGACCTTCAAAAATATTGGACCATTTGCCCTAAACAGGGCGTTTCAGGGTTAAGTAGCCAAACTATAGATATGAATTAAAGACCTCAAAACAAGAAAAAAAGTTCCTATGAAGGTATGTCCGCAAACGCTTTGTTTATGAGATATTCATACCTAAAGATTTTCATTGTTATGAAATATTTACGTTATATTAAGTAAATAAAACTTATTTATTTGTTCAAACTACTTTATTAATTAAACGTAAACATTAATTAAACCTGCATGACCAATCCATTGATTGGTATAATTAACATTTAGCCATTATTGTGGACCTCTTCTGTAATGTACAGGACAACCATTTAATTGAAGCCACATGTTCCTTATCAATTGTGCTGGAATATGATAAACATTAACATCCATTTACTTACTACAAGCTTAAGTGTGCCATATCCATGAAAATGGAAGGCATATTTTAACAAGCACAATTTTTTTTTTTTTAAATAATATAGTTGGCACCATGTTAAAGTAACAAATGTGGATTTCTTTAATTTTGAGGAGAGCAAAATAACAAACTTAACCTTAATTTTCTGTAGGAATTTAGTAATTTATTGAAGTTTTAATTTAATTAGGTCTCATGAAATGCACCAATGTTGTTTCAATAAGTATTAACAATTAATAAGGCTGATCTGGCTGGGTTGTTTTTGGAAGGCTATCAGTGGAGGCAGGTATGTTAACTGCAATCAGTAGCGTTGGCATCGAATCTTCTGGTTCGCTAAGCCTTTTATTATTATTTGTATACATTTTTATTAGTTTACTTTGTTATCTATGATAACTGTACGGAAGCAATATTTTCCTATAAATTAGTTTCTACCTTATAGGAAATTAATCATAGATTCTGAACATTGTGCTATAAGTTGAGAAATTCTTTAAAATGTCAACATAGTAACGGTTTGAGATATAATTGTGCATCAATAGCACTGAACTACATTTTCATTAGACAATCTCCTCATGAGACATCCTATAGTGTCTCTGTGGATCTTCAGGCGAAACTATAACGTTTGATAAATTGCTTTGTACAATTCATCTTTGGGACCCCAAGGGACACCTCTGTTTTCCGTTTTTATGCAGAGTTGAATTGGCTTTCCCCTTCCTACTGTCGTAAATATTTCCTGGCATCCTTCCTCTTTCAAGTCATCCAATCCCACCGTCCTTCATACATCTCCGAGCTCTTTTAATTCAAATCCAATATTCTGACTTATACATTACGGCCCACAGCACCGCTGCTTTCGACAGATTGTTATTATCCGATCCTCATCCCTATGGAACTCCATGCCTTCCCATATCTGTCAATCCACTCTACCATACCCTTCCTACCTTTAAATCCTGCCTGTTCAATCATTTCTTATCCATCCAGTCCCTATAAAATTGTAAAAAGATACTAATGTAAATTAGATTATTAGATCGTTATTCATTATTTTTATTTTATGTTAATTTTCAATTTTTTATTATTAACTGATTTAAGTTAGAAAGTAACTTATAATTTTTTTATTATGACTATTTAATTACTCTGTATTTTTGTTAATGTATCTCTGAGGCTCCTTAGCCCACATTTCTGTCTTGCTGTATTATTCTAAAGGGACACGTCCCAGAATAAATAAAGTATTATTATTATATTGGTAATATGATGTTTCTTGTTCCTTTTTTCTAATTTTTATTTTAATATCCACAGGTGGATTCATTCATATTAAACAGGAACCATTTGTAAAAGATGAAGAAGAACTGATTCTCTCAGATGATGGTGAAGAAGAATTGATTATCATAGATGCAAGTGAAGAAGAGCTGATTAAGTCAGATGGAGGTGAAGAGGAACTGGTTATGTCAGATGGCGGTGAAGAGGAGCTGATTATGTCAGATGAAGATGAAGAAGATCTGGCAATGTCAGATGGAGACGAAGAAGAACTGGTTATGTCAAATGAAGGTGAATACAATAGACTCATTACTATTATACTAATAATGGAGTATACAGACAACGGTTCACCGATTTCAACCAAATTTGTTTTGGTGACACTACATCGAAAGATATTGGATACTCTCGGGGCGTTTGTTCCAATGGGCCCTAGGAGCCGATAAATTTTTTTTTATATGTAATTTCAAACAAATTTATGTTATTTATTTTTTCCCGGATTGTTAGATGCCAATCATCTTTTTTTTTTGTGCAGAATAAGAATAAAATATTGTATTAAATGAGTTGTAATGTATCAAAAATTACAAAAACCAAAATGAGCTTTCAGTAAAGCATACCAAGTAAATTTTTGTTATGAAAAAGCAAAAGTTAAATTCATTTCTAGCGTCCTTCGAAACTCTTAAATTTAAATTTTTAGAGAAATCAAAATTGTATACCTTATTTTTTTTAATAACTAAAGCATCCATAATTTCTCAGGATTTTCTCCAAATTCCATGTTAGTACAACCATTGGAAAGCTGAATAACTGCTCTTCCAACCCAGATCGATAACTTTCGCGTTTCGTTCATTTTGAAACTAAAAATTTAGAAAAAGTTTTCAATCATTTTTATTTTATATCTTTAGTTCTAATTTGTTTATGAGGGTCAGTTTTTTTACCATTTCGTTTAGTATATAGAACTCTAAATCCCTATTAATTTTTGTATGGATTGGTGCCACCATTCTAAAGTTATCACAAGTTTTGTGGTTGTCGACGAAATTTCGAAGGGCCTAGGCAAGAATTTCATGAAGAAAATTTTAATTTTTCAATTGCTATAAAAATACGTATTTAAGAATTATTCGAGGTGTAGAAAACAAATCTCAACTTTCTCCTTAAAAGAAATATTTACTCCCACTTTGCTTCATTGGTTGGTCCAAATTGTCTCTATTTATTCAAATTATTTATTTATTCAAAACCAGTTGGCGGCATGTTTAGTAAATATTTTTTAATATTTGTTTTTCCCACCTCAAAAAGTCTTTAAATACAAATTTTTATGGCGATCAAAAAATTAAAATTATCTGTACAAATTTTTTTCTCAATCTCCCAGGATCCATTGGAACAAACACTGGGACATGAGTCCAATATTTTTTGATTTAGTATGACTAAACAAAATTTGGTTGAAATCAGTGATCCATTGTCTGTAGCCTCCCTTTGTAAGACACTTATTATAGAATAATATCTATTAAATGCATATTTAGGATAGTATACAGAGTCGTTCCTTTAACTCTCGTTGAACACTCCATCATAAAGGAATTCTCTTATGGACCTAGATGAAAAAGGGCTCCTTTTAGCCAATTTATTTGCAGAGACACTCCGTTATCTTTCTTTAAAGATTGACAGGAAACTGCAAGAAAGGATAGAGTAAGGCAAGGAGATAACCGGGCTGTTGCAATTTACAACTTCATTGTTTTTATTAAAGGGAGTAGTAGGGCACTGAACTTCCAATGCTCGCGGTCCCAGGTTCGAATCCTGGCTCGTGGCCAAAAAAAAAATTTTCTGTTTAATTGGCCATAGAGAGAATCTGGAGTAGGGAGACCCTCGTGGGGGAACACCCAGCCTCTACAAAGCAGGTGCCCTTAATTAAAAAGTTAATTAAGGGAGAAAATGTGGTGTTTGAGCCTGATCCTGTCCCAATCTCCTCCCTGCACAACCGTTGGCCTTTCCTTAAATAGTACTGAATCCAAGACCCTTCATGGGTTGTTGTAGTGGTTTTTTTTTTTTTTTTTTTTTTTTTTTTTTTTTTTTTTTTTTTTTTTTTTTTTTTTGTATGAAGGAAATAAAGTTCCTCATTTTACAAGTTTTAGAGATGGACGCAATTCTAGAAAATGAAGAATAGAAGGCCACTACAAATGTAAAAAAAAAATAAAATAAATAAAACCTATTGTGGTTCACGCATCGCACATTTTGCTTACCATTTCACTTTAAGTAGAAATTAGTATTTTCATTTCTAGGGAAGTGAATATAAAAATTATAGAAGGTAGAACGTATTAATTTAAAAACGTTAATTACTGTGTTTGTCTTACCTGTTAAATTTTTACATTTTTCACCACTGTACATTTCCTTCTACTGCTATGGATTTAGTTAAAACTGAGCCAATTAATTTTTTTTTGCTCGATAAGAATGTCACAATTTTTTTTTTAGTCCGATGATTGTGACATAGCAAAAGAAAATGTTCATAATAGGCTGAAGTGCCACTTCGGGTTAGTCAATTTTGACAAAAAAGTTGCTGCAACATGCCATGCATCTACTCCAAATATATTAGGATGCTGAACAAATTCTCGATGGTAACACAATTTTCGTAGAGCTACTGTCAGTAGGATTTCACTTCAGTGTTTATTAGTTTGTCGCAGTGTAAACAAGGTTGTTTTTTTCATAGTTCTAAAAATGTTAAATTTTGCAGATATCGAAATATTAAAAAGGGCACACAATTATGATGCTGTGGCATATCCACCTCAAGGAATGAATGTTATATCATACTAGATGCACATGCGGATCTACAATGGAGTGGGAGGGCTTTAGGGCTGAAGTCCCCCTCCTCCCTCTCCCCCGAAATGGCAAAATATAACTTCTGTTCATTTATCCTAATTTTGGTGTCTTGAGGTTTTATTTTTTACTTAAATTATGCCAATTATCACCAACATTTTATTGATACGCTATTAAATTCGACGTTTCTACCATACTATGGGTCATTTTCAAGTCTGGAAAATTGTAATATCATTATTAGTTAACATTCACAATTACAAAAAGAATTTCTTATTACACTTAATTAACTTATCTAACGATATAAAAACTTGTCTATGTCATATTATTTTCAATACACATAAATTTGTCAAAATCTATACATGAAAGTATACACTTTTTCTTATTAAAAAACCTTACGTAACTTTAAACATTAAGCCTTACATTAAGAACAATTGACTATTACCTTGATGAGTCCTCCATTATACATTCATCATTAATGTCGCAAATACTTTGTTCAGTGAACATTAAATTGTCATGCTCTATAGGGGTTTCGCCTACGTCATTTCTGGAGGGACTGACTTATATTGTCCTGGTGGGGATCGTCAAAGGGAGAGGGGTTTTCCTTCTATTGTTTTCCATTGATGGATTATTTTATCTAATTTATGATTTTTGCATTGCTTTTAAATTATTTTTGTATTATATGCGAATATTGTTAATTACATTTGCGTAAAAAGTGTTATATTGTTCACATCTTTATGGTTGTCAAAGGAATTCTTTAAATTTTTAGTAAGATATATTGACTATAATTTTTCTTTTATTGTCACTATTTTTATAAATAGATGCGGATCTACAGGGGAGTGCAGGGGAGTGGAAGAGCTTTAGGGCTGAAGTCCCTCTCTCCCAAAAATGGCAAAATATAACCATATTTTATAGAAAAAAATATTAAAAACTATCTCCAAAAAAATATTAAAACTATCTACTAAAAACTATCTAACTATGTTGATTGTGTAATTACATTTTAATAGGACTTAAAGAATCACTTAAACAAATGTCATATAGCTACTTAGTGTCTATTTATTTTTTAAAAATTAATTATCGTTATATATATGAAAAAACAAAAGCTTTCGAGCTGAAACTCCCTCTTCCTCCCCATAAAAATTAATTCCTGGATCTGCTAGTGACTGGATTAGACCTGAAGTATTTTTAAATATTGAATGTAATTAATTATTTATGATCGTAAATTCTCATTAAATGTATTTCTAATACTGAGGTACATTGATTGAAGTACCTGTTTTAACAGAAACTTCCTCTTAACCAGACATAACACTGGCCATCTAGAAGTTGTTTTGTTAATTTTTATAATATAAAATTTTATTTTAAAATATGCACAGAAAATAGTCTCCGAAACAGTGAAGCCCATATTAAAAGTATTAATTGTAAGTAATTATGTCTGAGCAGAATATGCAAAAATAGAAAATTATTTTAAAAAATGACAAATATTGAAAAGGAAGTAAACAATCAACCATCTAATCTGATTGAAACTGTCCCTTTACTAGCTATCTCAGAGGCAACTCCCGGAATATCTTATATCCAACGCAAGGCTTCAGGTATTTTATGATCAGCTCTTGAAACCTCTTAAATGCTGTTTCTCTATAATGCCTATTTAATTTTATTTTAGGAAAAATGAAGAAGATTCCAAGAAGTCGAGATTATGCATTCTGTCTTGAGTTGCAAGCCAAGTTAATGCACCGAGCGATGTTGACTCGGCATGAGAAAGAATTATATGCCATAAGGCAGGAAGAATTCGATATAAGAAAGAAAATTATCGAAGAAGAATCCAAGATGTTACAAATGGAAATTAAATATGTTCAAAAGAAGAAAAAAATTGGAAACGGCAATTTTAAAAATATAATCGGAGGAAAAAAAATTCCTTCATAATTTATGTTTTTATAACTAAAGTAATGTTTGTAAATGGTAAAATTAAGTCAAAGAAAAGGATGGTTGGGGTGATAAGTCAAAATAAAAAATAGAAAAAACAAATAATAATATTTATTTTAACTTTTGCCGAAGTTTCATCCCAAAGTTCAGTCCTTAATCAGGGCTAAGAGGAAAAAACAGATAACAATAGGTGTGAGAAACTATAAACATTAAATAATAAAGAATTAAAATTAAAAAGGTGAAAGATATAGCCAAAAATTACTTGGAATTTGCTTTAACTTTTATTATGTCTTATGTAATTGAAAGTAGTTATAACTTATTTCATCTAGTTATATTTAAAAATTCTTTAACTGAAAACTTAGCAGAGTCAAAAATTTACAAAAATTATAAATATATTTAATTTACAGGAGATGAATAGTTTTATTTTATTTTTTCTTATCTTTGCTTATAGGTGCCGAGGATAGTTGCCATGGAAGTGAAAAGTCTCATCAATGTCCACACTGTGATTACAAACATGTTAAATATCATAATATAAAAACACATATTATGGTCCATCATACAGATGAGAAGCCCCATGAATGTCCTTATTGTGACCATAAGTATGATACCTCTCAAGATTTGAAAGGACATATAATGGTCCATCATCCAGGTGAGAATCCTTATCAATGCTTTTATTGTGACTATAAGTCTACTGTACATCGACGTTTGAAAAGACATATGATGACCCATCACCCAGGTGAGAAGCCTTATCAATGCTTGTATTGTGACTATAAATCTGCTATACATAAAAATTTGAAAAGACATGTAATGGGTCGTCATACATTTCAGAAGCCTCATGAATGTCCTCATTGTGATTATAAATCTATCATATCCGGAAATATGAAAAGACACATAATGATCCGCCACATAGGTGATAAGCCTCATAAATGTCCTGACTGTGACCATAAATTTACTACGTCTTATGCTTTGAAAAAACATATAATGGCACACAATATAGATGAGAAAATATATAAATGTCCCCATTGTGACAATAAAAATATTACATCTCAAGATCTGGAAAAACATATAAACCTCCATCATACAGGTGAAAAACCTTATCATTGTCCTCACTGTAATTATAAATGCCTTAAATCTAATAGTATGAAAACTCATATAATGGCCCGTCATACAGGTGAGAGGCCTCACCAATGTCCATATTGTGAATATAACACTGTAACACCTCAGAGATTGAAAAGACATATAATGGGTTGTCATACAGGTGAGAAGCCCCATGAATGTTCTCATTGTGATAATAAATATGTCACTGCTCAAGATTTGAAGAGACATATAATGGCCTGTCATACAGGTGAGATGCCTCACCAATGCCCTCAATGTGAATATAAATGTGTTAAATCTCATGAGTTGAAAAAACATATAATGGCTCGTCATACCCTTGAGAAGCCCCATCAATGTCCTCAATGTAATTATAAATCTGTTACACTTCAAGATTTGAAAATACATATAATGGGCTGTCATACGGGTGAGAAGCCTCATGAATGTCCTCATTGTGACTATAGATCTGTTAAAGCTAAAGAATTAAAAAATCATATAATGGCTCGTCATACGCATGAGAAGCCTCATCAATGTCCTCATTGTGTCTATAAATGTGTTACATCTCAAAATTTAAAAAGACATATAGTAGCCCGTCATACAGAGGAGAAGCCTCATCACTGTACTATTTGTGAATATAAATGTAATACACGTCTAGAATTGAAAAGGCATATCATGTACCGTCACACAGGTGAGAAGCCTTATCAGTGCCCTCATTGTGCTTACAAATCTGTTAGACCTCACGAATTGAAGAACCATATAAATGCTCGTCATACTCTTCAGAAGCCTCATCACTGTTCTCATTGTGATTATAAATCTGTTACACTTAGAGATTTGAAAAAACATGTAAAGACTCATCATAAACCTTGAGAACTTCTCTCCTTTTCGTGACCATGAATATGTTATGTCTCAAGATTTGAAGGGACTTATATTATCTTGTCATACTGGTGAGGAGCCTCATTAATATCTTCATTTTGGCCGTAAGTGTATTACAGCTCAAGATTTGAAACTATGACTCGTCATACAGCTGAGAAGTTTTATCAATGTGGGTTATAAATCCTGAACTGGAGCTGATAATATAAGTGAATATGAGCCAATAATCAAGTTGGGTAAGGCACTGACTCCCAAAGCTGAAGGTCCTGGGTTTGAATCCAGCTGATGGCAAGTAATTATTTATTCTGTTTCATCAGCCGTGGATCGACCCTGGAGTCGGGAGAATCTCCGGGGGCATATCTAGCCTCTAAAAAGTGGGTACTCTTAATTAAACTAAGGGAGAAAACCTTATAGACGTCCTCACTACTATTATATATTAGTGAATTCAGAAATATCTAAACATTATTAAGATTGACTGTTAGAAAATAATATTTTAAATTTCGTAAGTGCTCTCACATTTGTGATAAACCTCATTAGAAACCTATCCCAAAATAATGTTTAAAATTATATATTTACTCATTATTCAGAAGGTATTTTATAATGTATAAATCTTTACAATATGAATAATACTAAGCAGTGTATTTTAATTATTTATTTAAGATGTGCATTTGTGATGCCTGTTTCCTGTTCTTAAAGTCGAAGTTTTAATTGTATAGGTATGTTTTAATATGAGTAGTTTTTATGACCTATGGCTGATTGCTTTGGTTAATCATTGATTAAGTTAATTTTACTCGTGCAATTATGTATATATGAAATGTACAGAAAGTATGAGTACTCAATTTATTTATTTTATTGGAGTTGACTATTTGCAAGTAGGCTTTTTTGTGCAACAAGCGCATTCCCTTCAAAATTCCCCTCTTTTTTTCTTTTTTTAAATGCTTTCATTAGCTTTTGTAGGGTCTCAAAGTATCATGCTGCATTAATCGTCTTCCCCTGAGGTAAAAATTCGATCAAAGTGATTCCTCTTTGTTCCCAAAACACGGATGTAATTGTAAAACACATGATTGTTTTGCCTTAAATCGAGGTTCTGAAATTTTTGGCAGATGGGAAACCAGCATATATAGCCAATGTAATGATTTTTTTTTCTTAGAACTTCTAAAAATTTCAATCTCTGTTTTTCCTTCTCCGAGAAGAAATTTTGAGATTGAAATTTTAACAAGATATTTCTTATTGACATATTTCACAGAAACAGGCACCATGTTTTGAGTTCTCGTACTGACAAGAATTGCCGTGATCCATTGATTTTAGTGAAATTCCCTCCACCATTCAGTGTTGCCAAGATTTGAAAATAAACAATTCCTATAACACAAGAGTTCAACGGTACTCTTTCTTTCGGGACATGCTTCATAAAAACCGGATATAACTAATGTATTAGAAGTAGATTTACAGCTTTCTGAAGATGATGAAAAAGAAATAAAACTTTGTCATTCATTTTTTTTTTCACAGTTATCACAAAATAAAATATGAATGTTTCCATAAAACATTACTTAGGGAAATTCATGAATTCATCTGTTAAATTAAGCTTTAGAAGTTGATTTCACTATTCAGGGTTTTCTGTGTGCTTTTTAGGGTGGAAATTGTGCTTGATCGGCCATCTGGAATTTTTAGTTAGTTTTTTTTTTGGCTAGTTACATTTTTCTAATTGTATTTGGAACTAAGAGTATAAAATGTGGAGAAGAGGATTGATATAGTTATTCACCTTACTATCTCTAATTTAAAAAAACAAAATCTTCCAATAGGTTTCTCCATCCTAACTCAGTTCCTTGAACAAGGTTTTCGGCCTAATGTTCAGAAAATTTTGCCCCACTTCAATAGTCTCATCAGATTAATTATGATTACCTCGCTACTCCTCTTTTAATAACCCAAAGAGATGAAAATTTTTTGTAGCTAAATCTATATGATAGTTGGCCCAGTAGCTAAATAAAAATCGAGATTTTGAAGGCACAGTACTGATTTTGTTTTTGGCCCTTTGAGAACGAGCATTATCCTGAAGCAAAATCACACATTTTGAAAGCTTTCACGATTTGATTTCACTTCAATAGATGCAGCAGCTGTCACTATTTATTGTTTGACCTTTAATTGTAATTTGTTGATTATTGAGAATCATTTGTTTAACTATTTCAATATTGTCGTTAGTCTTTAAAGTCGAAGCCCTGCCAGGCCACTGTTCATCGCACAGAGAAATCCTAACATTTTTAAAGCGATCAATCCATTCATAGATCTTGCTTCCACTAGCCTCTTTAGTATTAAATTTGTCTGTTCAGTATCAATATGTATACAGTGACATAAAAAAAAAAAAATCATCAAAGAAAAATAAAACTATATTTCCGTCAATTAAATTATTATTTTTTAGGTCTTAGTAGATCCTGTACATTTTAAATGAAATGTTTTTATTTATTTGTTTTTTATATATTTATTCTGTTTTGTTTATAAAGTTTATAATAAAATTTAATTATTGTGCATGTTTGTTTTATTTAATACCTCTTGAATTAAGATTGGATTATGATCTTTAAATCAACATCATACTAAAGAGCACAGTAAGTGTACCAAAATCTCACAAATCCTTTTATTTATAAAATATGAATTAAGTGAAATATCAATGAATGAAATGAAGTGCAGAATATTCTGATTTTTGATAGAATAAAATTCATCAAAGTCCTTTGTATTTTGACGTTATGAAACGTCATTTAATATATTTAACTAAGCAATTAACCGAACAATATATTGGTAATATAGATAATTTGTTCGGTTCGCGAGAGTAATGTATTTTGATGAATAAGTTATCAACCAAGGATCAATCCATTTGAAATCACCATGTTGCACGATTTTTACCAGTTATTCCATATTTACTCAGAACTACGGAGAGTTCAAAACCATAGTTTAAAAGATTTTTCAGCTCACAATTTTTTTCTCGGCGTCCATTTTTTATTTTCTTTTTGCCTGAAAACATGTTTAGGGAAAATGATTGTAACTCTAGTTATTTTACAAATATCAAGCCAAAATAAAAACTGAAATAATTTAGAGTATTTTTTCTACATTTCTGTTGATCAATACCTAAAAACAAAGGAAAGTGGTTTTAAAAAATCATGAAATTAGACAAAACAAAATGACTTGTAGGGCTGCAAAAGTGTTTTAAAGAAAAGAGTCTCAACTTTGATTTTTTTTTCTTTTTCTTCATATGTAGTTCTAATATTGTATTTCTTGCTGACGAAATTTCAATCTTGAAAACCCATTTTAAATATGAATTTTAAAAAATGCTCAAAAGTTGTTTTTTGCCATTTTTTTTATGTTATACATCAAAAAAGGGACTGATTGAAAAATTATGAAATTGATACAGTTTATATCTCTTAATGATAGGAATATGTGATATGAATTTCATCATTGAGACTCAACTGGTTCTATTAGTTATAGCGCAACAAATATGGCTGCCTAGTATGAGTCGGTGTCAGTATTAAAAAAGTTGGTATTAAATTCTTTATTACATAATGAAAACTATTTACCCCTAAGTGTAAATAAATATAAATTTAAATAGAATCAATAAATATATTATAACATAAATAGATTTTATTATGAAAACTGGATAGGATTGATGTCATTGATTTTTAAAACAGTGTCCCCCCCCCCAAATCACAAATACAGTTGTTAAGGTGACAGTTCACTGTTGAGGCGGTTACATTCATCAGTTGATGTGATAGTAGCTGTCATTGCAGCGAAAACTTATATACCTACCATAGAATTTGTGTAATGATAAACAAATTCAATTCAGTGTCTCAATTTCATTGCTGATTTATCGTTTAAATAATGCAATTTTCAGACATATTTGATACGATATAGACTCGAGTTAGGTTAACAAATTTTCAAGTTTCATAATTTTCCACTCAGTCCCTTTTATGATATTCAAATTCAGTTGAGACTCTTTTCATTCTGACAGTATTGCTGCACTAAATGTCTCGTTTTAACTACATTTCTCACTACTTATGAGGTATATTGTGAGGACAAAAAGTTTAGAGTAAAAATTCATAAAAATTTTGGTTTTTATTTTGTTTTGATATCTGCAAATATACAGTAGTTAGAGTAGGTAGGATACACTGATACCGACTCACACTAGACAGCCATATTTCTTGTTCTTTAACTTACAGAACCAGTTAAGTCTCAATGATGAAATTCGTTTCACACATTCCTTTCATTAAGAGGTATAAACTATATCAATTTCGTAATTTTTCACTCACTCCCTTTTGTGATATATGGCATCAAAAAATTATTTTTGAGCGTTTTTGAAAATTCATATTTAAAAAAGGACAAGGTTTTTAAAATTGAAATTTCATCAGCAAGAAGTACAGTGTTAGGACTACATATAAATTAAATGAATGAAAATATTAAAGTTGAGACTCTTTTCTTTATTACACTTTTTCTTTTGGTTGTAGCCCAAAATGTCACTTATTTTATCTCATTTAATAATGTTTTTAAACCACTTTCATTTATTTTAGGGTGATGTATTGATCGACCGAAAAGTAGAAAAAATACTCTGAATTATTTCAGTTTCTATTTGGCTTGATATCTGCAAAATAACCAGTGTTACAGGCATTTTCCCAAAACATGTTTTCAATCGAAAAGAAAATTAAAAAAGGCCACCGAGAAAAAACTATGAAGCTCAATTTTTGTTATCTCCTGTTTTGAACTCTCAAATGAATATGGTATAACTGGTAAAAAAAGAAATATAAAAATATTATTTGTCAGGCATAGATAATACTCGCTACAAACTATATAATGAATTTAACAATAATGAAAGACTTAGGAAATAATTAGATTCATTCCTTACTTTTTGAGAATGGAGCCATATGATAAGATTTTTTTTTTTTGGTTTTGCTAAAGAAGAACATGTAGTAGAAAACTCAAACTGACCAACAAATAGGATTGGAGGAGAGGGATGATCATGAAGACCACAGTAAGTAAAAGCAATTAATTTACCCACAATCCAACTAATTCAAACACTAATGTAATAGTTTGTATTAAAACCCTTTCAAAATTAATGAACTAACACATTAACAATATTTTGATAAAATTGGCCTCAACAACACCAGCATTATAATTTAACTTAAAATTTAGCAATTAATTTACCACTGTATATTTTAGCCTATAATAATTTAATGATCCTTTAAATTAACGTTCACTTTATGTAATAGATATAGTGTATGAACAAAAACCCTAAGAGCCAATAATTATAAATAAAACGGTTATTGTATAATGGAAACGCCACATTAAGGAAATAAATGGATAGAAGTGTGGAGGCATGTTTAAAACTATTCTTTTAAGAATATAAAACTGAAACTAAATTGAACAAGAAGAAGCCTTCATGGTAAAAAATAATTTAATCTCAAATTACTTCCTCAAAAATATTTTTCTGAAACTCCAGTTGTGCTGATGGAAAAAAATGTTACATTTATCTTACCTTTTTAATTTTTTTTTTCATTAAAAAAATATAATTATAAAACTTACAAGAATGCCATTAAAGTTTTATTATATTCCCAACTAGTTATTGTTATCAAATTAAATTTAGAATCTTGGAAATTAAAAGACACATTTCTTGCCTCCTTTATGAACCAAATATTTAAAACAATACTACCTATATGTCTTCGATGTTTCTTGTTTGAATTCAACAATCAGGAAAACAAATTAAATTTATTTTTCTATATAAATGTATTTATTATCCCGTAAATAATTTTTTGAATTATTTATTTAATAATTTTTATTAGAGCCTTAACAGAAATCTTTAAGAATAAATCCAATATAAGTGCTAATTATTATAAAGTTTATGCATCATTTTAAAGTAAATGACTAAAGAATAAAGCGAAAACAAATCCTCTTTAAGTCTGTGTTGGGAAGTTAGCAAACTATCGATAGTGAAAAACTATCGCCCATTCCTACTAAAACATATTCTTTAAGAAATTAAATTGTGTGTCGAACGAGCACCTAAACGTCATAATTTGATTAAGTGATATGGTCGATAACTCGGTCAACTAACATTAATTTTTACCGATTTTGTAAAAAACTGATACAGATTACTAAACGTCCCTGCAGCTTAGAAATGAGCTCTATAAGAAAAAAAACTCAGAAGAAATTCCGATCATATTGGAGACTAAATAATTAGTATCTTCCTTCACAAAAAGTGCCCAATAGCAGCTATTTTAAGAAAAGAAAAACACTTCCGAATGAGATTTATACAAATTATTATCGTGACCAGTTTTATAATTTACATGGATTCTTTAAGGAGACTATAGATTGAAAAGACTAATGAACAGCTGTGTAAGATTTGTAATTGTTGGCCCGAGATACTCTCATATCTCTCACCACTATACCACAGGCGGATCTACGGGGGGGAGGGGGTTTCGGACTGAAGCCCTCCCAAAATGGTAAAATATTACCAAATTTTACAGAAAAAAATATTAAAAACTATCTCTTAAAGTATTCTTGTTCGTGTAATTACATTTAATAGGACTTCAAGGACCACTTAAACACCATTTCATATAGGTTTTCTAATTTCTTCCTTTTTTTTCTAATTAATTATTGTTATATTTATATGAAAAAAAATCTTTCGGGCTGAAGCCCCCCCCAAAATTAAATTCTGGATCCGCTAGTGCACTACACTGAGTTAGAGTGGCTCTTCCCCTAGTTAAGAAGACAATATTTCCTAGGTACGTTCCTTTATCAAATCATCGTCTTTCTTACGCATACAATCTTTTCCAATTCAAGTCCTCAATCCATTCCCTTTCCACAAGATCTCGACCTTCCGACCTTTAAACCTCTTCTCACAGATCTGCCTCATCCCGAAATTCGGCATTCTTACTCCCTATCTACCTTTAAAACCCTCCAATTCCTGCCCTCAAAACAGTCACGATACCCGCTTACCTTTTATTTAAATTTACATATTATTCATAATAATGTATTTACACATAATTCATCACTAAATACTCAATTTTTACTATCAGATTTGTTTTTTTGTTTTTTTTTTAATATATAGAAACAGAGTTTATTTCTAAGAAGAATGTAATGTGTTTTTTATTTATTTATTTCATTGCGCGCAGTATAGCCCAGTCGAATTTGACATGTTACCTTGCAAAAGATCGAGTAATTCAAATTCCTTTTTTACTTTGTTAGGTGTCTAGTGAATATAAAATATCCAACTTTTCGCCTTTGAAAGCCTTGTGGGTCGATGTAGTGCTCCAAAAATCATTGAAATTTCGATCTTTTTTTTTTTTTGTTTAAACTAAATACCTCCTTTTTAGAGCAACATGAAAAATAGTTATGATTAATCTTAAAGAACTTAAAGTTATAAAGTTTATGTACTCGTTCGACGTACTGTTTAACGTTCTTTAATTGATAACTGGGTAAATTTTTCGCTTCGATGCATCGTTAAGGAGTTATAGCTGAAAAAACAAAAAAAATATAGAAAAAATCTGATTTT